TGGGGATCAAATCCAGGGCCCTGTGCATGCAAGGCAAGTGCTCTATCATTGAGTTCTATCCCCAGGCCTCTAGGTTTTTTATGTATTATCAAATTTAAGACTCACAACACTGGGGCCAGGGAGATGGCTCAGTGGAATAAGCGCTTCACTGGCAAGCACAAGGATCCGAGTTCAATCCCTAGTTTTGCCAGAAAAAAAAAGACTCACAACACTACAAAGAAGTACTTTTATAATCTCCATTTTGCCAATCAGGGCAGTAAGATTAGTTAAGTAATTTGCTCAAAGTCATGCCCCTAGTAAAAAGTAAAATTAGAATTTGAAATCAGGCAAGCTGAGTCCCATTTTTTTTTTTTTAATTTCCATTATAATACTTCTGAAAAGAAACATTTGGTACCATTAGTTGGGGTTGGTGGGTGGAGAGAGGCAGCAAGTGGTATGGAGAAAGATATAAAATAAGGCAACTGAAAGTTAAATTATATTCTCAATCTCAGAATGAATATGCTAAAACCAGACCTTGTTACTAGATTTTTTACATTGTATTTTGTCATGCACTGAATTTCCTCATTAGCTGGAGATGGTGGCACACCCCTCTAATCCTAGCTCTGGGGGACTAAAGCAAGAAGATTATAAAGTTTCAGTTTAGCTGGGCAACCTTAGCAACTTAGCAAGATTCTATCTCAGTTTTTTAAATTAATCAAATAAAATATATTTCCTGATGGTAGTGTATGACCACTATTTTCCAAGGGTCACAAGAGAAATAAACCAAGTACTGGTGATTCCTACATTTAATTATAATCCAAGCCACTGTACTTAAAGTACAGTCCATGCTAACCTTGAAAGAAGGTGTTTGCCAGGCCTTAGAAGAGAGGTTCTTGGGGGCCGGGGAGATAGTTCAGTAGAATAAGTTCTTCCCTGGCAAGCGCGAGGGCCTGAGTTCAATCCCTGGTTCCACCAAAAACAAACAAACAAACAAATAGAAGAGAGGTTCTTAAGCAGTTCAGCTTTGTCCTTTGAAAACTTTTCCCCTGGGAAAACAGGCCCTCAGTATTCCAAGATAGTTCATAAATGTGCTAAGTCTTCCTGTCAAGCCAAGCCATCTTCTTGAGATTACTTCAGATTCCAAAATTATGACCCATATCTGTTTGTGTAGAGCAGAGTTTCCCAGTATCAGCACGACTGGCACTCAGCATCAGGCAATTCTTTATTGCAGAGAGCTGTTGTTTACATTGAAGGATGTCCAGGGGAATCCCATCCTCCTGCCCCTAGAAGCCAGTAGCATTACCTGTTTTGACAAAGAAAGATGTCTCCAGCCATTGCCACTGTCCCCTGTGGGAAGGGAATAAAGTCACCCCAGCCGATAACCAACAATAGAAATCAATACCAGCTTTCATTTCGAGAATGGCCATCCCTATCTGTTTGTGGGAGTAGACAATGGTACAAACCTTTGACGGTTGATTTTGAAAGTAGGCTTTGGAAAGAAATCATTAAAGTATTCAAACTATTTGCATTGCAAGGAAAAGAGAAAGATCTATTATTTAAGGCACAGGACATATAATAGATTCATTAGGAATAAAGGTCTGACAACATATGAGACTATATATTCCCCAAGCAGTAAAACAGATTCAGTGGCTGCCAGTTCCCAAAGATCTCCAAGTTCCACATGCTTGAGAGAGCGCTTGCGCATTTAATCTAACCAAGCAGTGTGTACATTCAGCCTAACTGGCTTGGTCTGTATGTTATTCACCAGACTATGGTGATTAATCCAAGAGTGGTTTAGTATGAATATTTGTGATATTCCAAAACTTACATGTTAAAATTTAGTCATCAGGCGCCGGCCAGCTAACAGAGGATTAAGGCACCTGCTTAGGCAGACACAGGGACCGGGATTCAATTCCCGACATGCCAGTGCCAGCCCAGTCCCCCAAGGGCACATTGAGATGGAGATTGTGACTGGGCGTGGTGGCGTGTGCCTGTTGTCCCAGTGCTTGGGAGACTGAAAAGAGGAGTACCACCATGAGTCTGATCTGTGTAGTGAGGCCCTGTAGACCCTGTAGACCTTGTACTAAATATATAAAAATAAAAATAAAATTTAGTCATCAAAGTGATGGTATTAGAAAGTGAAAGTTTGGAGAGGTAAGTGGGTCTTGAAGGTGGAGCCCTGGTAAATGGGATCAGTGCCCTTGTAAGAGGCCTGAGGGAACCCCGTAGCCTTTCTGCACTCTGAAGCTACATAGAAGGCATCATTTGTGGGCGACAGACACTAAATCTGCTGGTAGCATTACATTGGACTTCCCACTCTTCACAACTGTAAGCAATATACTCTATTTATTGTATTTAAATTGCTCAGTCTAAGGTATTTTGCTATAGCAGCCCTAATGGACTAAGTAATAGGTAAGCCAACAGTCTTTCTTAAGGTTCTAATAACTAATCTGAGGTGCTGAGATGGAAACAATCACAAAGTTATAAAGATGCGAGCCCCCACCAAAGGAAAAAGTTGTTCTGAGAAAATAAAGACAATACACAGAAGGCAGTACAGGTAAAAGAATCCCCATGATATTTGTAGGGATCCTTTCTGATATGACTACAGCCATCTTGATCATAAACTCCATCCCTGCCCCCCAGATGGTCCTTAACATGCATCCAAATTCTGTAAGAAAAACAAAATCATAACATCATTAGCCAAACATTTTGTGCTAGCTATTGATGCCTAACTGGTATGTAAAGTACTTCTGAGAAACCCAGAGTATATTCTAGTTGGCTGTGGCCCACTTTGTCAGGTTTAATACATACTGTAAATCCCATCCTCCTGCCCTGAGACGCAAGGAATCCTATCTTGCTGCTGCCCAAAACATCTTATGGCTACTGGTCCCTAATAAATTATACTCTGGAGCTGGCAAGATAGCTCAGCAGACTAGTCACCTGCTTAGGCAAGCATAGGGACCAGGATTCAATCCCCAGTACCACATACAGCACCAGCTCCACCCTAGGCAAGCTGAGCTGGCCACTGAGACCCGGCATGGTGGTGTACCTCTGTAATCCCAGCACTAGGAGACTGAAAACAGGAGGATCACTAGAAGTACTAGCTGCGTAATGAGACCCTGTACCAAATACATTTTAAAAAATAAATAAATTTAACTTTGTGAAATCCTGGATTATCTTGCTTCTTTGTTTGATCCTTCAATATGTTCTGTCTTTGGTAACAGTTTTCATCCACTGGATTTTTCCAGAACAATGGCCACGTCTAGAGTTCAGGCTATTCCTGTGGCCAGCTTCAACCAGTACATTCACATGAATTCCTATGTGAGCCAGCAAATTCCTCCTTTTTATTCCAGCTAATTCATTTTGGATTTCTCTCCCTTGAAACCAGGGGATTTTAACACATCTTGGCAAAGATATAGAGAATTTACATAATGGCCAGGAGAGTTAATGAAATTTTTTTTTTTTTTTTTTTTTTTTTTTTTTTTTTGCGGAACCGGGGATTGAACTCAGGCCCTTGCACTTGCCAGGGAAGTGCTTATTCCACTGAGCCATCTCCCCAGCCCAAGTTAATGAAATTTTGACTTGTAAATGCTCTAAAGAAAAAATCTTTGTGCAAACTACATAGATGCAAATTCACCATGAGTCGATTTTGTAAATCTTGGTGTGGTTCTTGAAAACTCTTGGTAGATATGGCTGTGTCTTGGCTTATGCAGATGTCCACCCCAAAAGTCCCTGCTTGTGTAGGACTTTATACTTTCCAAAGTTCTTGCATTCGGTATCTCATTTGCCTCCCACCACAAGTCAACCAGACCATGAAGGGGGTCTTGCCAAGCCCGTTTCCAGGTGAGAAAATGAAAACACCATGAAAGCTAAATAGCTGTTCTATGTAATTCAGGGATCTGGAAAGAGATTAACAATTCTCAGGTTCAGTCAGTCATGAACTGTGTCATGAATGATTTGATGCTCCTTGGTTGAAGTACCAAAGCTTGAGAATGATTGATCTTTTTTTCTTTTTTTTAATAATAATACACCATCCCTGTAACAACCTAATGCTCCCCAGCATTTTACAAGCTTTCCCAAGTGGGAAAAACAGAAGCAGAGTTGCAGCTGCCATATTGGGAATTCCCCTGGGAGGGTCATCCATGTCAATACACAACCATAGGCATCAGAGCAGGAAAACAGGTAGAGAGTCAGTGAGCTAGCTGGTCCCCAAAACTGTATCCTGCTCTAAAATGTCATGATTCACCCAAAATAAACAATGAGTTTAAGGCATTCAAGATTTAAAAACTCACCATTTCTCCCTGGCCATTCCCTATCCTTTTTTTTTTTTTTTTTTTTTTTTGGTGGAACCGGGCATTGAACTCAGGCCCTTGCGCTTGCCAGGGAAGTGCTTATTCCACTGAGCAGCTCCCCGGCACCCCTCATCTTTTTTTTTTTAATGTAATTTCTTTTTTAAAAAAATTTTTATTTATGTATGTATGTGTGTGTGTGTGTGTGTGTGTGGCCAGCTCAGCCCACCAGGGGGCAGGGCTGGCTGGCATGTGGTGCTGGGGGATTGAACCATGGTCCCTGTACTTTGCTAAGCTTGTTCTAAGTAGGTGCTTTAGACCACTGAGCCATCTCACCAGCCCCAACCCCCCCCCATCTTTTATTAAGAATCATTCACTTCAAAAAGTAGGGAAATGGTAAAATGTATCCTCTAAACAGGAATCATTTTAAGAGAAAAAGAGACACCCACAGGACAGAGCACAAGGGCAACAGATTAAATAGGAACTGTATTGAGTAACCTGGGACTTAAGTTCCCCTAAGTATATGTAACCAAAAAAAAAGTCAATGTGTGAAAATGGGACCACCAGACCTGCCCTTAAGAGCACAGCCTGTACTCCCACAGCCATATGATTACAGCAGGGACCACCCATCATCTCAGCACTTTTTTCTCCCTCTACTCAAGGGAGGGCAACTTTATTCAGGCTTCAAGACCTTGGTGCTTGGACTGGTGGTGCCTTTCCAGAGAAGAGACTAAAACTATGGAATGCTTTCTGAGCTAACATGTCATCCTTGGCTGGGTCCACGCCGATCTTCTCTTTATCATTCCACTTTAGTGTATGTGCTGCATTTCAGCACACTACCCAACACTTCTGTCATATTCTATTCACCAGAAGCAAGTTGCAGTCCCTTCCCACATTTAAAGGAAGAGATTTACGCAACGGTGTAATTCCAAAAGACAAGTCTCATTGGACGTCATGGTATTCTGTCCCCTGCACTGTAATCCTTTAGAGATCTTCTAATTCAAAAGCTAAGATTTCTGATCTGTCCAACTGGCAACAATTTCGCTTTTTTTTTAACTCATTGACTACATCAGACAAAACTTGGGGTGACTGCCATCTTTTCCTCCCCGACAGCCATATCTATTCTGCTCCTCTACTGTCCTTTAGGAGAATTGGTCATCGGCCCACCCATTCCACTTAATCATGTACCTCCCTCCTAAATACAAAGATTGACTGAAGAGTAGCTTCAAGTACAGTCAATCACAGCTTTATCTGCAATTTTCCTACCTAAAGCCAGTGATCCTCCCATGGTAAAAAGCCTTGAGATAATGAAGTCACTGCACATAACAAACCTGGTGAGACTTCAGATTCCCATAAGGCCCTGTATTCCCTTGAGTTGATGGTGTGTTTGTGGAAAAGGCTGCCAATTGTCCTTTGGTGTGTTCTCTGAACCTGGTGCTTCTATCTTCCGTGATAATAACTGCCCTACCTCATCAACTCAGCCACAAACCTTACCTCTTCAGCATTTCCCCAAGGAGTTCATGGGTATGATCAGACTTTATTGATGACTTAAAGGGCTGTGAATAAAAATCACAACAGATTATAAGAAAGTTTCTATCATCTCACCAGCTCCATTCTCGCACCCTCCCTCCTTCATTTAACCCACCATGAGATACCACCTCGTACCCAAGAGATGACTATAATTTACTCATGTGCATGCACATGTGCACATGCACACACACACACACACACACACACACACACACACGGATGTGGAGGAACTGAAACTTTCTTATATCGCTGGTCAGAATAGAAAATGATGCTGCCTTCTCAGAAAACAAGATGTTGCTTAAAAACATACAGAGTTAGCACATAACCCAGCAATGCCAATTCTAGTTATATAACAAAGGAACCAAAAGCAGAGACTTGAACTGGTATTTGTATTCCAGTGTCCGCTGCAGCATTATCTGTATATCAAGAAAGCAGAAGCAACCCAACTGCCTATCATCTGATGGACTGATAAATAAATGTGATATATTCATACAATGTCACTAGATGAAACATGAAAGTATATGCAAAGCAAAAGAAAATGACATGATATGATTCTCTTTGTAAGAACTGTAAGAAATGTCCACAATAGGCAAATCTATATAGACAAAAAGTAAATTAGTAGTTGTCAAGAGATAGGAGGAGGGAAGAATGGTGAATGATTGCTAATGGGTACAGAGTTTTTTTGAAGATGATGAAAATGTTCTAGAGTTAGATAATGGTTATACAACAAGGTGAATATACAAAAAGAAAAACCCCTCTGGATTCTATACCCAAAAAAGATAAATTTTCTATTATGTGGACTCTATCTCAATTAAAAATGCACAACAGATGTGTTAAATCATCCTCTCTCTCACCTCCTCTGCTGAGATCTACATGAACATGGAGCTTTCTGGAAGGATCTATTTAAGGATAACGCTGATTTATTGAATCCCAAGAATTTGTCTAAGGCAAGAATAATTTTTAGCTTCTAGTTAGTGTTTTATTAAATAAAACTACTCTGTTTCTCTCTCAAGGGAAAAATATTATGGCACAAAACCCCAGATACCTACATCCCTATGACCTATCACTTAAACAAAAATTTCCTTCTGATTCATGAGATGTAAAGCAGCCACTCCGTTTCTAGAATCTGAGATTCCTGGGGAGCCCAGTTTCCGACATTGCTGCTAATCCTTTTCTCAATAGGGGTGTTATTAGGAACAGTTTGCCAGACACCTACAGACAAAGATTAGGCTCATAAACAGACAGCATTCAAATTGTCTTTGGGTGTTCTTAGATGCACATAGCCTGCTGGGTATACATTTTAAAACACTATTTTGAAATCTATATTTAGTCCCCACTTCCCAGCTTGTGTTCATGAAAATAAGTACATCTACATGATAGTAATTTCAAGGGCAACCTGAACCTTATGCAGCACATAATTCTGGAGTGTTGGTAGTTTCCAACGTGTGGTCTATGAGAGGCCATATCATATGTAGTTCCTCCAGATCTTATAAATTCATTTAACACATATTTACTGAGCAACTTCTATGAGGCAGGCACTGTTTTACACACTGGGTTCAAAAAAACAGAAACCAAAAATGTCTTTGGTTCTACGGCTACATCTGATCACTCTACATGTCATTCTGTAGGACAAAAATCAATTGTCTCTGATGGGCTCAACACAGTGCTAGGTACAGGTGAATAACACTGTTCCAAGAAGAACACAAACTAGGGGGAAAAAAAAGGTCAAAACTCAAAGAAAAATATTAGATTTCATTATTATTCACTTATCTATAGTCTCTGGTATTCAAAAATATTTAAGGCATCTTATGTATCTTTTTGAAAGATACATAAAGCATAGCCAAATAATATAAATTATAAGCAGAAAGAGGGAAGATAAAAAACCTAAAAATGAGAACTAAAATAGGGCCAGAGATAAGACCAACACAGAGAAGGCTATGGTAAACTCCTTTATGTCTTAGCTGGAGAGAGAGTTTGGTGATATAAATGCCTGTCCAGCAAGCACAAGAACCCAAGTTTGATCCCTGGTATTGCATGCTGTGCTGGCCTGGGGTCACACTGTGCTGGCCCCAGTACAAAGGGTGGTGGTGCATGTTTGTAACTCCAGCACCAGGCAGGCTGAGACAGGAGGATCACCACAAGTCAGAGCTGCATACTGAGACCCTGTATCAAATAATTTTTTTAAAAAAATTGGTCCTGAGAATCTGAATAACACATACCTCACTGTCCTTAAACATTGCCCATCCAAATTCTAACCAAATAACACTTGTTTTGAGTAAAACTTGTCACCTGACTTTCTTCCCATTTGATGAGCTGTTGTCTGGGAAGTCCATGGGTCCATCATTCAAACGGGACCATGAACAAAGTGAGCAAAGAACTACGCAAAAAGAATAAAGTACCTTGATGCGTGTAATACTAGAGACTGAACCCAAGGCTTTCATACTGAGCTACATCTTCATCCCTTTCTCAATTTTTAAATTTTAAGACAGGGTCTCGTTAAGTCATTAAGTTGCTGGGGCTGCAGATGTGTGCCATCGCACCCACAGCTCAGATTCCCTAATATAGCTCCATATAAGTCATACGGCTTCCTTTGTGGGCTTTCAAAACATCATACTTTTTGTCTACTTCTAAGCCATTCCCAACATCGTGCTTTCTACAGAGTCCACTTCCTCCCATGGCTCATTTTTACGTGACTGACACCTTGTTCTTTAACTGCCAACTGACTTTTCATCTTCTCAGAGAAATAGCCAAGCTACCTTAGCTAAGTAGAGCCTCTCTGCTCCCCACTATTTGGCACAGCTAATCTCTATCAAACCACCATTTGTATAAAATGTATCAGAATCTGAGATTATCTTATTATATATTTATTTTCTATCTCACTGGAACTTTTGTTTATTGTACCTAAAATCCAAACTATCTAGTACAGTGCATAGCATACAAGACCCACTCAACATGTTGGCAAACAAATCTACATAAACAAGTGCATATCTTTCTGTTCTGAATAGCAAAAAGGCAGATAGAATATCAATAAATTCATTCAAAACTAATAGCATGTTACTAGGTTATAATCTTAAAGGCAGGGAAGTCAGTATGCAGCCTTTACCTTCCCTCATGTAAAACATTTCAATAGGGAGTGGAGGTGTGGCCCAGTGGCAGAGTATATACTTAACATACAGGAGGGGCCACAGGAGGGGCCGGGGAGATGGCTTAGTGGAATAAGCGCTTCCCTGGCAAGCACAAGGACCTGAGTTCAATCCCCGGTTCTGAAAAAAAAAAAAAAACATACAGGAGACCCTGAGTTTAATCCCTGGCATCAAAAAAGACTATTTTCAATGATTCTATCCTAAGACTTTTACTAATTATTCTGACTCTGTATGAGTATCAACAGCTAGCAAGAGAAGAGGAAAACACCAAATTCCTGAAACTTAACCTGTAACAAACTTCTGCCCCAGGAGAAAGTTACAGGGAAGGTCAAAAAACATGGAAAACATTATTCCTAACCAACTTTTCCACATAATAGCAAAATAAAATATAAAAATTCACATTAAGTACTCAAAGAAGGTGACTGCTTTTAAAATCAATGCCCAGTTTGAGTTAAATCTTTTGGGTAGACCAGCACCATCCAAAAAAGTTATAAACCACACTTATAATTTTCAATTTTCTAATAACCAAATGGAAAAGTAAAAAGAAACAAGAGAAATTAATATGAATAATGCATTTTATTAAAGCCAAAATATACTCATTTTAACATGTAGTCAATATAAAAAAAAGTTTGAGATAGTTTACTTTCTTTTCTTGTACTGTCATTGCAATAGCAGGGCTGGGAAGGTGACTTAGTGACGGAGTACCTAACATGCACTACAGCCTGGGTTCCATCCCCAAAACCACAAAAATTAAATTAAATTAGATTTTACTAGTAAAATTAAATTAAATTAGATTTTTAGTATATCTAAATTTGGACATTATATTTGCCTGTATGTTTGTGTGTTTCTGGTTTTTGTTTTTTGTTTTTTGTTTTTTGTTTTGAGACAAGGTCTCACTATGTAGCCCAGGCTGGCCTTGAACTCACAGCAATCCCCCTGCCTCAACCTCCTGAACCATAGGATTACAGGTGTGTTCCACTCTGCACCTGGTTGGGATATTACATTGGAGTTGAAAAATAATTCTTCTTTCTCTAGATTTCATAAAATTTCTAGATTTGAAAGGTAGGTTTAATATATACATGTCTCCCAAACATACTTGGGCTATCCAATAACCCAAGAACAAGTTTTTAAATTTTAAAGGGAAATTAATTGCATTATGCTG